AAAACATACTGATAATTATTTGAAGGAGTTGGATGTCAATATATAATGCCATACATACATTTGTAAGAGATCAGAGCCAGTGTGCATTTCAGTAAGAACTTAAGAAAACAAATGTTTTTAATCTATACAACTGATTGAAATTCCAGATGTAACGTGTGCAGTTTAAACCAATACTTCAACATACTTTTTTTTTCTACTGATAGAATGGGGGTATCTTGGTGGATGTAGATATTGCTCAGCATTCAACTATCATAAGCTTTTCTGATTACCATGAGGGATGTGCACCTGCCCTAATAATAAACCACACACCATGGGACGTCCTCACATACAAACAGAGGTATGGAAAAAAAGGGCTCCTGGAAAATCGGACTTGCTTTTACGGGTCCACAGTGCCTTCTAGGAAATACGTGGAGCTAGATGTGTTTCATATTCCACATGTTTTCAGATTTTAGAAAGGTAATAGGGAACACATGCTATTTATTACTAAAACCCCCAGCAGGTTTTGAGTCAGTCTTTAACCAAACATGTTAATATTTCTGCAGCAAATCTTTGCATATTCATAACAAGTGGAATAAATAAAACTTAATAGTTTCATGTCTGCTCAGATCAAGTTTTGTTGCCAAATGACTTCTGACACCAAACTTAGAGAAGAATATTTGGACTTCTGGAGCTTGTTCAATTTCTGAATTGTGTATAAGGAATTGTGAACCTCTTTAAGCATTATCATTCTTTTGTAAGCTGGTGATGCTCAGTGAACCTCTCCCTATAAATCCATATCTAGATTTTTTTGAGGGAGTAGTAGTAGAAGAAGATTAAGTAAGAGAGCAGAAGATTAAAGAAAATTAAAGTAAGTAAATAGTGTTGAATGTATAGTACAGGTTAATAGAGATTTTGTTCTTGCCTTGCTATCATTTGGCTTGGACGATGCCATTAAATAATGATATAACAGATAGCTTTAAATCCTTAAAATATATGATATGTGTTTGCAAAGAATTATTATCATAAATCTGCAAGGCATTATTTTATACATTTATATGTATAAATAATCATAGAAATAAATATATATATTAAAAATAATGCTTTGCAGATTTACCTATTCTTCACTCTCATGGCTTGAATCTGCTGAGAGATTTAAAAGCATAGATTGGGATTAAAACCTAACTGAGTTACTTTTTATTTTATTGTAGTTATCTGGAAAGTTTTTTGTATTTTTGAAACCAGTACTTGTTAAACTTAAGGATCAATATGAAGATCTCTTGGAAATCTTGTTAAAATGCAGATTCGCATTTAGCAGGTTTTAGCTGGGGCCCCCAATTTTGCCCTTTCTAGCAAGCCTAGAATGCTACAATGGTATGGACCCATTTTTCTTCTCTCCGAGACTCATATTTCTTATGCATTGCATTTGATCAAAAGTCTTAAATTTAAGCTCCAAGTGAAGTTCTTCAGCTACTAAAAAATTTACTATTCACAGCCTTTTCTGTGGGTGATCTCTGATGTACCACTCACTTCACCTTAATGAATTCCATTAGTGTGATCTTGTCTGGATCAGTTCAGGGTATACCTTCAGAAAGGGCAGTATTCTTGTCCCTCAAGCTTCAAAATCATTAGCTTATTGGACATTTTAGGTTACTTATTTTTAGACAGAGTTGTGTTTTGTTAGCAAAGGCAGTTCTATAAGATGTTTGTTTCAATCCCCTCCTCAGTAAGCCACAGGTCCTGTAGGATTCTCGAGGCCAGGGTATTTTAATCTTCCCTCTGTTGCTTGTGTTTCAGGGGGTCGCAGGAAGAAATGGTACTGCTGCCAAGACAGGTTTGACTCTTTGCCTGGGCAGATCCTACTGGTACCAGAAAACTTACATGGACTTACGCAGCAAATACTGGGAAACATGATCTGTTAAAGGTATCATTTGATGTGAAC